TTGACGTCCCACCACACCACCAGACGAAAACATGTATGAAAAACGATTTGAAGATACAGGAAAAAAAAAAAAAACAAAAAAAAAAAAAAAGAGATAAAAAAAAGAAAAAAAAAAAAAAAAAAAAAAAAAAAAAAAAAAAAAAAAAAAAAAAAAGAAATAAAGAGATATAAAAAAAAAAAAAAACTTGGCAGCACACGATACCATTGAAGACAAACGATTTTAAGAAGGAGAAAAAAAAAACAAAAAAAACAAAAAACCATTTTGAGAGAGTCACACAAAAAAAAAGGTTCTTCTGATATTAAATGTTCGCACAACTGTGCGGCCCACGCAACCGTCCACAGAATGAAAACAACAAAGGAACTCATCCACGACAACCATGCCGCCATTCAATCGACCCAGCAACTTCGCGCATGACGACCATGGACACGGGCCACGTCACAATTCCTCCCGCCTACCGATCGCACCAACCCACGTCCTCCCGCTTCACCCCCCCTCCCCACTCCGCACAGTCCTACATCAGAGCTAGGCGGTCTTGAAGTGCATCCCGCAACAAGTCCCCTTGCACGTTCGTGCTCCGCCGCCGCCCGCCCGCACTGTTCCCCACAATGCCCAAGTCTACTCTACGTCGAACGCCGTTCTCATCCACCTCCCACAAAAGGTTCTCATCGAAGTCGATCCCCGCGTCGAGGAGGATGTTGTGGAGAGTGCATACGGCCACGAATTGTTGTGGCAAGGCCTCCAGGTTCATCTTGTGGGTGCGCAAGAACAAACGCCACATGCACTTCAGTCGCCCGAATGCCCTCTCCACACACCCCCGCGCCACCTTCTGTCGCATGTCGAAGCGCTCCTCGTCAGGATCTTGGTCGATTCCTCCGTACGACTGCATGATCCATGGACAAGCAACTGGATAACTGTTGTCGCCTAGCAGGTAACCTCGCGTGACGACACCGTGCGGCAGATTCTCCGGAGGTACGTCGAACAGCTCGCCAACTTCTGCACGCCTCCACAGCTGGGAATTGTGCAGGACACGGACGTCGTGCACACTTTCCGGGTATCCGACGTGGACGTCGAGGACCCGCATATCCAAATCCACCACCACCTGCGCCTGCACGGAAAACTTCTGTTTGCGGTTGTAGTAGTTCTCCGAAAGTGCGCCGGCGGGCTTGTCAATGTAGATGTGTGTACAGTCGATTGCGCCGAAGCAGTTCGGGGAACCCTTGTCACGAAAAGCGCGCTGAATATGCGCACGTCTACGGCCCACTGGCCACTTTATCGCGTCGGGGTACGCCTGTAGCAGCGCCGAAGTGACGTCGCGGACGGCCTGCAGTCCAGTTGCCCTGCCGATGCCGAAGGCTGACGTGCTGCTCTCGTACGTCTCTCCTGACGCCCATCTGTACAACGCGAAAGCGATCACCTGCTCCACTGGCAATGGCATCCTATAGTGCGTGACCTTCTTCTCCACGTACGCAGCGCACGCGGCTACGATCTGCCTGAACGTGGCCATCGACATGCGCAACTTCTGGCGGTAGTACTCGTCCGTCGCGTCATCACACAGACGGAGATCCTCCAATGTTCCGCCAGTCCGTCATCTAATCCACCAACGCGGGGTCTGCCGCGGAAAAATGCCAGACGACAGCGCGACACACAACTGAACGACTGCCTCACACGTGGCCACGCAATCCGGCGCTTCGGCAATGCTCTGCAACAACGCTCTTCGTTTATGGAGCTGCGTCAGCATGTCGAGTGAGGACGACGACATGCCGCTCATTGTGTTGACGACGACGACAGTCACCCCCATCACCACCGCGTCGATCTCTTCTTCGTGTAGACCATGCCCGCAGTCGCGAAGGTCCATCTTTGAGAATCGTTCCGCCTCCACAGCGTGACGCCTGCCACACCCACCGAAGACACACCCGCTGCTCAACCCTCCAGCAGATCCAAATCTACGCACGCCGGAGCCGAAGAAGCGCCCGCCGCTGTACGCTGCCACAGGAGAGGACGTACGCCGGAGCCGAAGACGCGCCCTATGCTCTACGCTTCCACAGGACAGCACGCACGGCGGAGGTGAAGATGCGCCTTGCAGGGAGGTGCGCCCGCTGGTCACAACTTGCGTGGACTTGGAAGACGGATACCCACGCCGAACGGTTCGCTAGCGCCGTCGTTTGTACATCACACGCGTCGCCTGGCCATCCTCTGCGCCGCCACCCTTTTTTCTTTTTTTTTAAAATAAAAAAAACACCCCTTTCAGTGTTAGTGCTGCTGATAAGAGCAAACGGCACTACCATCGGAGGAGAGGCTCCATCTATTGGTGGGGAGCATCACCTGCTGGAAATTGGGTCCAGCGTCCCATTTCACATGAAAAATATCCTGGGTATGAGTGAGTGGCCGTGGATCCTGCCAGCATTGATTACCCTGCAAAATCAGGGGATTGACTGAAACCAGAGACATCTTGTGAGTTGCCTGCCAGCATTGATTGCCCTGCAGAGCAGGGGATTAACTGAGCAGACCTGTGTAGGTTTGGGAAGCAGATGTTGCCTTTGTATCTCTTCACCCTCAAAGGGGAGGGCGCCAGATTGGAATCTTAAGGACTGATACTGTCACCAATTGTCTGCTCCAAAGCCCGCCTGCTGACTGCCAATGCCGGCTGTTCCCGTGGTGATAGTCACCGGCTGCTGACTTCATCTCCCGCCTGCTGACTGCCCATAGCGGCTGATTTTTTTTATTTTTATTTTTTCACGAGGTCCTCCCCAGGGGGCACTGAGGAGGGGTTCTTCGAGGGTGTCAGTGGAGGGTAAGAGGGAAAATTGGGAGGGTTATGAGGATCAAGACCACAGCTCAGCCAGGGCCAGGGCATTGGGGGGGAATGGGTCTGGGAAATCCATGGGAGGGCGTAATGGGAACGTGGGCTGTATACTGGTCCAGTCTTTGAAAACTAACCTATAGTCTCTCATCCCTTCCAGATCCCGCGTCCCTTCTCCCTGATCCCCGCTCCATATCACCTTTGCTATCCATCCTTCTCTTTCCACCCCAACCCAATTTATGCAGATTTAAATCTTTCTTCTGACGTCCTCGGTCTGTAGAAGGAGGTCTAGCTGTAGTCTAGTGTCTAACCATCTGCGTGTAAGATCTAGGTGAATTTGCTGTTGTATTTGTTCTATGATCTCTGCGCCCTCCACCCGTACCTTTTCCATAGATAGGGTGCACCTCTACCACCAGAGAGCCCACATTACCGCCCTCCTTCCAATTCTGTACATGTTTTCTATATAGGGTGTAACTGTCCCTGCCCGGGCCAATGTCCGGCCAGAATGGCTTGCCATGACCAGGGCCAGGGGGTGTCTGGTTCTACTTTCTGCCAGATACGATCCCACCACCTCCATATGTATTGAGCAATTGGGCACTGCATAAAGATGTGTTCGATGGTCTCTAACTCTCTGCCTTCTTGTGGAAGGGGAAAAAGCTCTGACATCGTAGACACCATGGAAGCAGCACGCCTCTTTGCTCCAGATTCGTACGATCGATTAGCCAGTCGTTGGTAGGCAAACAACGGTGTGCTATCTGCCACTGTAAGAAGGTGATTTTTATGAGCCTTAGCTTTTGCTCTTTAAACCATTGGATTGGTGACAACAGAGAGCGGTCGATATTTAGTTGTCTGGCCCATCTATCGTTAATTGAATCTCCGAGCTGTCTCTTGGGACGGAGCAATTTGTAAGCTGATTTGATTGTCAATGAGCGCAGGCTAATGAGGTTGGGCTTGGGGGTGCCCCTTTCCTGAGGGGGCTGCCAGGTCCATTCCACCGGGTCCAGGGCCAGGTCCTGGATCGACTTGTCTGGTTGGAAGGCCACCTTCTGTCCCTTCTCCTCAATAATCTTTACTCTATGAACCAAGGTTTTGCTCTTTCATTCGAAAGGCCCCTCGCTCCCTTGGAGAATCTTGAATTTTGTGATGGTGTAGCTTTCAGTTAGGACCATCTGGGGGGCAACCATGTGCACTAAACCGATCTGTTGCGGAAACCCATTAGTTGCCACCCAGTCTCCTTCTTGCAAGGTGGGGCCTCGTCTGAGGATTCGGAACCATTCTAATGGGACGGCTTCGATAAGATCCTCTAATGAGTCCTCTACGTGATGGCAGTACCTCTGGTCCCCTGTCTTCCAATCTTGCTTTTCATTGTCCCAGAGGTCCTCTACTCTAAGAATCCCGTTTCTGACCCAGCTCTTCCAGGGGGGGGCTGAGTTAATCATCACGCAGCCCCTCGTGTCTGTCAGCCATCTGTTTTCGAATAGGGGTTGTCGATAGACTTCCTCCCATCGATCGGGCCGGGTTTTGTCCGGGAGCGGGAGTTTGCGCCATGTTTGCAGCAGTGAAGGCCAAAACCTGTCCTGCGGTTGACTCCCTTCCTCTGGCCTATCATGAGGAAGATCAGGGAGTCTGCGCGGGATTTGCCAAAGGCGGTCTTCTAACCAGGTGAGTGGGTGGGTCGTGTGGGGAGTTGTTGGGGCCAACCTAGCCAGATGTTTCGGAGCCAAGACGCACCAAGGGCTCTGGGGTTCAAAATGAGTTTCTTAATCCATTTGACTCTTAATGCTTGCACTTGCGTGGCTGGGTCAAGGATTCCCAAACCTCCCCCTATTTTTGGTTGGATGATGAAGTCCCAAGCCACCCTGCTAATCACATTGGGTTGCTCCCCATCCCTCCTCCATAGAAAGGCTGCTACCTATTGTTTAAGTCCTCTTAGAGCCTCTTTGCTTAGGGGCCACAATAGTGATTTATACCATAGGGATGCAAAGACGACATTGTTGAGGACTAAGGCACGACCGAAGAGGGATGTGTGTTTGTTTCTCCAACTGTCTAATTTGTGTTGAGCTGGGGAGCTAATCCAGTCATCATTGATTGGTGGTCGTCCCTCTGCAGTCATGGAGACTCCCAGAACTCTTATTGGGGTTTCTAGAGGCTTCCAGGCAATACATGGGACCTCTGGAGGGCGTCTTCCTTGATAATGAATCCACCAGCCCTGCGTCTTGGACCCCCAGTTGATAGACATATCTGAGACCTTGGAGAACTTCTCCATCATTCGGCGGATTTCCTCCATATTGCGGTGTGTGGCCTCCGCCATGATTGTGAGGTCGTCTGCAAACAAGGAGCATATCGGGATAGCTTCCTCGGGAATATGAGTGGTTCGAATTTTCGTAATGTTTTTATTTTCCCGAAGATTGGCGGCTAAGGCCTCCATGATAACAAGGAAGAGGAAGGGAGCAATGGGGTCCCCTTGGCGGACCGAACGTTCTAGGCGCAGTGGCGGTGCAAGGCTTTCGTTGACCTGGACACATGTGGTAGCGTTACGGTGTAGGATCTGTATCTATCGTCTGAAATCCGGTCCGAAGTTCATTTTCTCAAGGCACCTATCTAGGAATAGCCAGTCTACGTGATCGTAGGCTTTTTCAAAAGTGCCGCATTTTGACGAGAGTGTCTTGAAAGCTGGAGGATTTCATGGATCAACAAGATGTTTTCCTGTATATTCCTGTTCTCCATGAAGCCTGTTTGAGCAGGGTGGATAATGTCCTCCATTATTGGGATCATACGGTTAGCCAAGGCTTTCGACAACATTTTGTACACCACTGTGAGGAGTGTAATTAATCTGTAATTTCCAATGTCCATTTTATCACCCTTTTTGTAGAGTAGGGTCAGGACCCCTTGGCCTACCCTTTCTCCCATCTCAGCCAGACTTCGTTATAGAAATCCATAACCTCCTGATTCATAAAGTCCCATGTGGTTTCCCAAAATTCTTTGGGAAAGCCATCTATCCCGGGAGCCTTCTCCTCCTTCATCTGCATGAGGGCGGTCCATATCTCGTTTTTGGCTAACGGGACTTCCAAGGCACTTCGTTGTTCTCGTGTTAGTGCTTTGTTGAGCGGGGTCAAAAAGTCGTGGATTAGGCGGTCGTGTTGTAACATATCAGATGTGTCAAGGTGCGACGAAAAAAGGTCTTTATAGAAATCATACGTTATTTTTGTATAGTGAGCGGTGGTTACCGCCGGGTCCGAGTCCCTGGCGTTGGGTTCATATAGTGCCTGGACTGTAGTTCTGTGACATCGTGCTTTGGCCAAATTGAAGAACCGAGAATCTATCATCCCTTCAGTGGAGAATCTGGATAGTCGTGCCCTTGTTTGAGTACCTTGCCATCTGTATTGTGCATGTCTGAAAAGTTGATCTTTCAGCTCTTGTACGCGAGGTTGTAATTCGGTGATCCTCTGTTCCTGCCCATGTGGAATTTGTAGATTTTGTTCTTGTTCCATGTTCACTAGTTCTTGCATGATTGTGATTTCTTGGTGGTGCCTCTGGGTAGCGATCTGCTTAGAGAACTCGTTACTTTTTTTTACCATAAAGAACAGGCCGTTATTGAACCAGGCGATTTGTGATTCCTGATGGTGACGGTGGTCTTTCCAGGATTCCCAGGCTTGCTGTAAGTATTGCCTAAAGGAGCCAATTTT